ATAATTGATTAATCTTTGAAATAACTGATTTTCACTAGTCATACGTACTTAAAGTATCTTAAGAATACATGTTAAAAACAGTTATCAGTAAGCAAATGATCATTAAATGATTATAGGGGGAATAGTCAAGTCTAAAAATGGATTTCATCACGAATTATTTTTCAGACTTCAAGGATAAATCATTACCTATGATGTCTTGAACATTCAAACAACTAACTCTATCTGAAGTTATGGATATAAGTAAATCACTAATCACATACTAAGAAAAAGCTATTTGATTGAATTTCACTTTTAATATTTACTCAGCTGTTGTATATTTGTGACATAAACCATTTACAAAACAAAAGATTTTAATTTATGTAATAATCTAAGAATTTTCTATGATAACAAAACATCTACTATTACTGTGAAATATTAACTTTTAATGCTTTGAACCATAATAAATTATAGTCTAAAGGATGAAATCAAGAAGAGTGTGCATGAATTTGATCGGATTCACTTTTAAGATAATTTAATATATTATCTAATTATCATCAGCAGTAATTAAGTAAGGTTTTGGAGATTGTTCAGTCTTACGGTTTACATCACAGACAGATTTTATTTAGACAATCATTAGAAACTATGAAACATTGGACAGTGGTCTAATGGTTAACAGCCAATGATGATAACTGAAATTCTTCGTTTCTATCTTTGATGGGGTTGTGGATACATCTTGCTGGTAATCAATGTCATGTATCTCAGATACTTATTAGTTCAGATCAAAACCCAGCTCTAGGATTTCCTGTTGACTACCACCAACAACCATCTCATCTCAAGATAGTGCACGCAATATCGGGTGATCTAGACTAGTGGCCACAGTGCAACTTGGTCGACAGTACTCGATCTGCATTAAGAAGGACCTGATATACATGACAATGATCACCACCCAGTGATCAATCAGCTGCAAATACATCTCAGTTTTACAGGAAGTCAGTCGCGGCCCGGATAGCTCAGTACTAAGGTCTCTGACTATGAAGCTGGGTGACACGGGATCGAATTCGTCAGTGAGCATCAGTTCCCTCAAGATTATAAGTACACCTTGCTCACAAGTGCCAAATGATACGAAACCCAGGGCCATGGTACCCTGGTGACTACCTCCAAACACCATCTTATCTCAACTGGGTTCGATTTCCGGCGTGAATACTTACACTGAAATTTGTGTATGTACAACTAAGGAGTTCCAACTAGACGAATACCCATATCCAAGATTTTACTGTCAACCACAATCTATATATATTTTTTTCTACGAAAATTTGTGTCGTTAACATTGTTAAGCAAAGGTTTATTTTACTATGTATCTGTGTTTCTATCTCTTTACTCAAAAGGGTTCAGACTGTGTATTCGAAATTGAATGACATAAAATTAATTTGAATTATTTAAAAAAAGTATTTCGTTGAATGAAAGATTTACCGATTCCTTCAGACATTTGACCGTGTGTAAACATGAAAAAAAAGAAGTAAACTCCTAACTTCACTTACTTGATTGTTTATCTATATGTTGGAGCTTTTCATTTTTTTTATTATTCATAATAAAATATATAGGAATAATTTCTTTTTAGTTAACCTACTGATGATGCCGATATAAGTAGTACAGATTATATTCATAAAACTTCACTGACCCAATAATGATAATAATAAACTTGATGATATTGATAAATATGACACGATCATGCATCAACCTTTGAATATTATGATTATTATCATTATCTTCCTCTGCCATAGACATTACCGACATTGAAGTTTGTTCATAGTCTGTAAATAAAGGTTTATTGATGCGTATTTAGTGTACATATGTGTACATGTGTACGGGTAGGCAAAGAAATATTATGTGACCTAATTCCACCGAAATCTGATGTTCATATGTAAATTTCCAACATATTTTTATTTATTAAATAAATAGAATTGGTTGAAAGCATGAAAATTTCACATTCGTCATAATCATTATCAAAATTGTCAACAACATCATCATCGACAATAACAATAAAATAAAAAAAGAAAAAGAGAGAAGACTACTTAATATCGGTAAACAACAATATTATGACCTAGACAAAAATAGGAGAGAAGGATAAGTAAATAGATTGAATAAAGAAAAATAACCAAGAAAATGTACAGGAAATAATAAACTTTTATTGTAATACATCTAACTAGGTAATCCAGTTGCATTTGAATCATTTTTCAGATATTTCATGAAAATACTAATGATATTACTAGACTGTGATGATTAACAGTATAGGATTATGAAGATTGTTGAATGTTACTGAAATCTTGAATCGATCTAAGTTAGATAACCATCGGAAGACCGCAACTAAAAAATGGCCTTTTTGTCTCGGTATGGGACTCCTCAGTAGTGCAAATACACGGCCCCGTATCCAGGTATCGAACTCAAGACCTTCGGTCTCATATGCTAACATCCAATCTCTAAATCACTGGTCCAGTACTGAATGGTGTACGAGTCTAATTTTAATCAGTCAACAACATCGCAACCATTTTTCATTGAACTCCACTGCTCATAGATCATCACAAGGACCTCGCGAATTTCCTCTCGAAGCTAGACACCAGTAGTCACTTGATAAGTACCAACGATAATCAAATTTAGGAGGGAAATTTTATTCTACAGTCAAATGGATGACAGTAAGTTGTTATAGATAATAAACCACTAATAAATAAAATAGACTACTGGTTATAGAGGATAATAATCATAAATATATTGCCGTAAAATATATTTTCATAAAATAAACATCAGTTTTATATTGTGTCCAGCTCATATTCAATATAAGTAAATTCTAACAAGTATAGGTCATCTTTTAGATAACTTATAACTTCAATTCCCTTCAAACCACGAATTTGTGTACAGAAGTGATATATGCAAGCCCTCATTCTACCATGGCTTTAATAATTAATTTTCATACTCAGCTAATCAGTTGTTGATATGATTTTTTGGTGTTTATTTATTTTCTGGATTATTTGTTATTATCAGCTTCGTGTTTCTTTTACGAACTTTTTTCTCACCTTTAAGATAATGGTTGGGGGTAGTCGACAAGAAACGTTGCTCGACCTAGGTTTCGTGCTATTTAACACTCATGAGTAAGTAGTATCTATAATCCTGATGGGACTTACGCTTCCTGTTGACTATCTCCAACCATTATATTAAATCTCAGCATAATGTGTACAATTTCGAGTCAGTTAGACTACTGGCTACATTCTAGCCTGATCGGTGGAATTTTATCAGCACTCAGGAGAAATTGACATACACGACATTGATGACTACTCAATCGGTTGTAAATTCTCCATCATCCTCACACTTATCCACTAGACAATTATCTTTCACACATTTTGGCCTCATCTTATCACTTTCCAACTTGTTGTACATAAATTAACCCTCTTCTGATGCCTTAAATTCCCAAATAATTTATTAATGAATCCCCTTCCTATTGTTTTAACAGACCACTACTATACTACCACTATAAATACAATTTAACAATCTGAGTAAACAATATGGTTGAAAACGAAGCATTTCTTTACTGAAATGTCTTTTGTTCTTTTTTTATGAATTAATTCACTAGGTATTTGCTTGAAGCTACGGTTTACACTAAATATAAGGACTAGTGACCTTATTCGGTTGCCTAAACGAAACAGGCAGCATGGAATTCGAACCTGGTACTTAGTGACTGACTAATTAACTAATTAACTACTAACCCACTGCTTCACAAATAACTTTTGACAGTAGTGTCAGTTATCATGTCTTTGAGTGAGATCGATTGCAATTACTTAAATAACACTGAAATTTCTCCGATTTTTGGATAAACCATTCTAACAGAATATTGTTAAGATGATTCATTTGTCGGTTTCCATATTCGGTTTAATTCTTGTTGATCTATAAGGTCAAGAATCAAGTTAGGGGGGAATAACAATTAAAACAAATAGTGGAGGCTTTGAAAGGACAAGAGCCAACAACAACAACAACCAATTAATCAAGCTCAAGTTCGACGGAATAGGTGACTGTCAGTCATATGTGATGAAACTTGAATAGCGCATTTCTATCGACAATCTGTACTGATGTTATTATTCAGAAAGACAATGAAGACTTCACAATGAAACTACGTAGATTAAAGAAAGAAACTTCGCCAGAATGACCCAGCTGAGCTATATCATCTCAACTATTAAACCATGCAAATAATTCAGTAATGCAGCACTAAACAATTAAGTCGTACAATGACTTGACATCTATGGTTGAATCATAAATAAAATAGGATATGTCATGTATCTGTAATGGGTTCAAGTTGTTTATTTTCACATCACTACATAAAATTAATAAAACAAGGAGAAAACAACGAGGAAATAATAATATTTTATAAACTTTAACTTTTATTTATTATTATTATTAGAAGCTTTATTCAACATTATATTTTTGGTACAATATAGAATTCTCAGCATAAAGTATTTCAACAAGTTTCCTTTTCTTATATCTTGATCGATTGTGACGATAAATTTTGAATGATGACCAGTTAGATGTTGTAAGTTCGGTAATCCACATTTGATTAATGTTCAATCGTTTCAATGCATATTGCCACCCACTATGATGTCGCTGATTGTACCTTTCTGTATCCCGTATAACGAAAGATTGTAAACTTTTCACAAACGCTCCTGAATGGATTGTGAGCACAATAGACATAATGATGTGCTAAAACAAACAAGAAAACAGATAACTTGATGAAATATATAGATTGGAAGAACAGATAGTCCAGATATTCAAGCAGGCCGCCACGTACTCAAATAAGTAGTGAATGTAAATGAAATTGATCTAACTAAAATTATTTCAATTTTCCTCACCTCCATCCCTAAATCTCACTTTGTAAATGAAATAACGATTTTACCCATTCATATGTGTAACTATGAAATAATTAAATAGTTTTATTATCATTATTATTAGTAGTATTAATTTACAGCGTTTTCTTTCTATAGAAAAATTACAGATTCAATGAAGAGTCAAAAGTCTAATTCAATAAACGAATATTCTTCTTTTACAAATTTATTATTTCAACCACATCATTTATCAGCTTTTTCAATTCCATCACCAATAAATAAAACAAAAAATGTTATTAAACAATCTACTAATCATGAAAATCTTCCAATAATTAATAAACATTCAAATCTATCACGACAAAATTATAGTACATCAATAAAACAATCTTCTAGTAGTAATCCAATACAATTAAATTTACAACCATCTATTAAAGAAAACGACACATCTATTAATCGATCATTTTATGCTCAATTATATAATTTAATGTGCTCAAAATTACCAAATATAATACCTTATAGTATTAATAATGATAATAATAGTAATAATAGTCTATCGAATAAACCACGATATTCTCCTTATCCAATTCCATCAGATTTTGAAAGAAACAAATTAGTAAATGTATTCAACAAACCATACTCTTCAACACATTCCAATAAAATCAATATGAATCAGATTGAACATGTAACCAACTTTGTACAATGTTCCAATAATCCCAGTCAATCTAAAATACCGATTTCAAAAGTTCATGAACATAGTAGTAGAAAGAAAACTTTATCATTGAATAGAAATAAATCAACCAATAATAATAGTAATCAGTATCAAAACTCATCAACAAATGTATATTCATTAAACCGATGTAACAGTTGTCCATCAGTAATCATTTCCAACTCATCATCATCATCATCATCATTATGTTACTTAAATAATCCCTGTAAAAATTTAAAGTTTCGTAGTATAAGTTATGATTCATTTGTATTAGAAAAACAAAATAACATTAAAAGATTGAATGAGTTAAATAATTTTCAATATAATTCATTGCATAATCAATATTACCATCAATATCCATCAGAAATGTCTTCATCTTGTTCAATACCTACTTCATTACTATTTGATTCATTGAAACAAAATTTTATTCAGAATCAATCTATTAAACATAGTCAATCCAATGTAAATAATGACAGTAATTCAATAAGTGGTATAAATTACACTGAAACACCGGTATCATTTCTTAAGCAATGTACTAATGAGATGAATGAAATGAATAATATTCCTGATGAAAATAATAATAATAATAATAATAATAATAAATCAATACAAACACCAATACGTGAAACATTTCTACATTATTACTGGGCATATTATTATGAAGAATTAATGCGTTATTATATTCAACACCAAATATCAACAATGAACAATTGTTCTACTAATTATAGAAATCCAATGAATACTACTATAATGACTACAACGGATAATTTACAATCATGTACACATTCTCAACCGAAATCAACCATAATGAATGTCAATAAGAATAATAGCAATTATAATAGTAATAATAACCTTATTACTAACTCATTGAGATCACCTGTTACAACATATAATACAGTGAATTACATTGATCATTCTAAAAACTATGATAAATTGAAAAATGTTAATCCTATGAAGAATACTACTAATACTACTACTACTACTAGTAGTAGTAGTAGTAGTAGTAGTGGTAGTAATTATTATAATAATCATCAAACTAGTGAAACAATGAATAGTTTTCATGTACCAGAAAAAGTACAATTTGAGAATTTAATAAATTTACAAAATAATTGTGTTTCATCATATAGACAAAATGATCTAATATGTAATAAAAACTATATGCCGAATTCTCTCTTGACATCTGATACATTGATTCAACAGAAAAATAAACATCACAGTCATAAACCTTTTGACAGTAGTATTGAAAACAGAAATATTGTACAAACGATGAATCATCAAGACTTATTGATGAGAACACCTCCTTTTCCTGTTACTGCTAGTTTAAGTACTACTGATATTAACCATATTAGTAATGAGCAACATATAGTACCATCGGATAAACAATATTTTATAAATCAGTCGGATAATAATATTAGTAATATACATAATCTTCCGGGAATGAATAAACCCACTCGGTTAAACCGCGACTTACATTCTTTGCGTTTGTCACCTGTTGTCAGAGTGTGTAGTGATAATATTGATGGTAAAACAAATAGTGACAAAATTTTAGAACTACGTCAGTATTCACCTACAAAAAGACTATCATCTTTATCGTCACCATCAGCAGCGTCATCATCGTCATCACCAAACATCAGTGTGCCGTTCTCAAATATGATGCCCTCTTTAACAGCATTATCATCACGATCATCAGTACTATCTCCGCAGACAAAATTCTGTCGATCAGTATCTATACCGCTAGATAATCCCAGCGGTTCAATGACATTAAAACGTGATAATAAACGCAATGATACATGTGAATATTGCGGTAAAATATTTAAAAACTGTAGTAACTTGACTGTACACAGGCGTAGTCATACAGGTGAAAAACCATATCAATGTAAATTATGCAATTATGCTTGTGCACAATCATCCAAATTGACAAGACATATGAAAACGCACGGAAAAGATGGTAAACCGAGATATTTGTGTAAATATTGTCATACACCATTTATAGTACCCTCGACATTGGAAAAACATATGCGTAAATGTATGCATGGAAAACACGCATTAGGATCACATACTATTACACGTCATAAACAAATATTAAAACAAAATTCTCCTGGAAAATTTATACAATCTTGGCTAGTAGCGGCAGCAGCAGCAGCGGCTACATCTGGATCTTCATCTGGAGTGTCAAAAGGAATTGTAGAAAATGAAGGACATCAAAATGATCCCATAAATTATAAATTAAACAATTATAAAAAATTTAAATCACGTGCTTCTCCAATTAATACAATGGTAATGACCAAAACAACAACAGATCCTTTAATGACAACAAATAAAGATATGACAGTCACATGTACAACAAGAACTACTGATCGTATTCGGAAAAGATTAAAATATACCAGTTTACATCATTTAAATAGATTATCGAATAAAACAATCAATTCTTCAATTCATTATTTACTTCCCTTGTTACAAAACAATAATAATAATAAATATTATTCAACTAGCAAAGATGTTCCATTCGATATTGATTCACGACTTAAACATATTTCTAATGATTATAATACTATGATGTGTGAAAAGAGTCAGCTGAAACCTTCATTCACTTCTGGACCCTATAAAAACTTAACTAAAGATATTGAGAGTAGTAATATTAGTGACAAAGATAACTTATTCCCAACATCAGTTTTATCCTATACTGATCATATAGCATCAGTTAAACAATCAACAATCAATACTAATCATTTATTTGTCCCACCATCTTGTATACCGAATTCTTTAATGAACTTATCAATTTCACCTATCATAACAAACAATACGATTTCATTTTCAAATACAATGAAAGTGAATGCTTCCTTGTCAAATAATCATCATCTTACTGAAAATACTACTGCTATGTCTACCAGTAGTAGTAACAATAATAATAATAATAATAATAATAATAATAATAATGGAAGAAATTTATCATTTTTAATGTCGAAAATTCTAGATAATTCCCGAAATACAGAAATATTACCGATTAATCCAAATTCATCAGTTCCATCTTCAACATTATACATCTGAAATGTATTAAAAAGAAAGAGAACAACAACGACAACAACAAAAAATGCACATTTAACAAAAAAAATAATATTTTTTATGTATTATCTTAGATTATTATACTTTCATTATAAGTATCATTATTATTTATTGTTTAAACAATATCTATATTACTGATAATAATGATAATAGTAGTAATATGATTATTATAAATGAAAATAAAATACTACTGTGATGTGTTTATTAATTGATTAATTTCACTTCTAATTCTAATCTCTTTTTTTCTCCATTACATCACTTCTTATTGAATCTTTTTTTTCTTTTTAATTAACTGAATAAAACCAGTGACAATACTACTTATTAGTGAAATACATTCTAGATTAAGTAATATATACATATATATATATATATATATATATATATATATATATATATATATATATATATATATATATACTTTATAAACAAACATTTCAACAAGATACCTTTGTCTCTTCCCAATTGGCCATCATAAGCATTTCTTATTTTTAAACAAGAAAATGTACTCTCAATTTGTTTAACTAACTAACTAACTAACCAACAAATGATTTAATTATTTATTTATTTAATAGAAGTGTAAACAACATTGTTTGTTTAATCACTTCATATAATGGCTAATATTATTTTTATCCATTTAAAAAAGAAAAGAAAATAGGTTGAAACCCTTGGAACTGCTTTCCTTTTTTAAAAAAAAACAAACTAAACACTAAACGAACAAATCGTTTCACTTTGCAAAACAGAACAAAACTTGAGATGTTAATTACTATATGCAATGATATGTAATTGTAGATTTATTATTGAATGTATTCAATGAAATAAATATTATTCCACTCATTGTTTATATACTTTGATACTATTATTATTGTGCTATGTAAATCCCTTGGAAACAAATGCAGTCGGAAAGGAGAGAGAGAGGGGGGATTAATTAGTTGATTACAATGAATTACATTATTTGGTGTGTATTACATTCCTACTGTGTAAGAATAGATAAAATTTAACTAAGTAGTCAATAGATTATTCAAACGATATTTAATTAGTAAAGGGTTTTCATGGAGATTGTCGAATATTCGTAGTTTAAATCAGGAAGCACTGACCACCTTTACATATATGAGTATATATCACCAACGGATTTTTCGTTTACAAAAAAGATGGTAGCTCTTGCATACAAGAATATACGTAGTAACTTATTCCTAATACACAAGTCTGAGATTCCTTTATTTTTTTGACATCCGATTGGTTGTTCTTATCTTTATTTTGTTAATTTTATTGCATCGCAAGTTCATGTTTGTTGTTATGTGTTGAGAATTGTTACCACCTCAAATTTCACTTTTCAAATATCAAGCTTTGTTTACATTTTTTGACTTCTCTCTATCTTCTATTTCATTGGAGATTATTTTTGAAGTGTTGTGCGTTAGAGTCTTCTAAAATTATCAAGCTTCGCGTTGATTCAGTTCTTATTAGAATAACATCCCAATCATTCACAATTAAGAATTCCCATTAGACTGGAGAGTGAAACTCACGGAAATTGAGGGTCTATATTTCATGCTCGTCGGTATCTGTAACACCAATGAAATTTAGATTCTGTTATAAACAGAAACTTCAATATAAAGTCATTCGAATAAACAATAACAATGGAACTCTAGTTCAATCATTATCAAAAATTGAATAAAATAAAATCAGTTGACATTATTTGGTTGATTAGTTCATTATACTCGACATTAAGTCCTGGATAACAGTATTTTATCTATCATTAATTCATACTTGATAGGTTAAGTCGTACAAAATCATATTTTAAATTAAGTAATTACAATGTAATCCAGGTCATTCAGGCAGTAAGCGAATCAACTATCTATGCAATCAAACTTAGCACTCAATTACTGGTAAAGTTGGATTTAGCATACGTCAGATTGGATAATTAAGTATACTAAAATCCAAATGGAATCCATCAAGTTAGTAGGTTACAATGGTTAAATATTGAGTAATCTGTTAACCGAATAAGACATGATTACAACCAATACATATTACTCGAGCCCCCAAATTCCCTGGCACAGCTGAGGATACGGAGAGTCAGCTCACCCTATCAAAATGCTCTCACAGGGCCAGACGTATACAGCCACTGCCAAGATAGTCCAACTCACTGTCTTCTCGCGACATTACTGTTGTTTACCAAATTGAGAGGATGAAAAGTGAATGTCCAGCGCTTTAACCGGGTTGGTGGAAACAGAGGGTCCAACTAGGGGAGTTGGAAAACCTTGATTTCAAACTAATGACACACATGGGCTCCAGGATCCTGAAGGAACAAATGGCGCATGAACCAGTCGTTGGTTACCGGCTACCATGGGACTGCATCTCCTGACGTTGCTCCACTGCCTTGTGGATCAGACATTTGGGTCGAAGGCTTCGGGTGTGGTCCCCTAAGAAACCGGGAAGTATGATAGCCCACACATAAATCAAGTGACTTGTGTGACGTATATGTATTCGGTGCCCCTTTATATCAATATTTATGTGTTCAAGTAAATAAATAATACTTTTTAGTATTTCAGCGGAAAATCATAAAAAACTGGAGTAATAAATAGTAAGTTTAATTAAATCTTACTAGTGATAACTAACTCTGCCTGTAGCTCTTCTAGAGTTACTGCCGGTCCCAAGTCCGGTTAAAGGAGGAGAGTCAGGCACGAGGTTAGCGACCCCAACCCGTAGAAAACTAACTCGCTAAAAAACGTTAACCAGAAAAAATAATTCAAACAATTTTGACTCTGCCCTGGGAGTTAGAAGGTCTTCATTTAGAAGAACTGTGATGCCTCATGGTGGAAATCGAGTTACTTCGGAAGCCACGAGGCCGATGCCCCTTCTAACAACCAGAACAACAATTTTTATAGGTATATGTAACATCCAGACAATGTGGGAGACAGGGAAGACCAGTCAAACAGCAACGGGAATGAGGAGATACAAATTGGCAGTACTGAGAATCAGCGAAGCCCATTGGACCCAAGCTGGACAAAAAAGGCTAAATACGGAAGAGGTGCTACTATACTCCGGTCACGAAGAGGAAAATGCTCCACACACTCAGGGAGTCGCTCTAATGCTGTTCAAAGTAGCACGAAATGCACTTGTAGGATGGGAATCTCACGGGTCCAGAATCATCAAAGCACCATTCAAAACAAAGAAGGACGGGATCACAATGAATATTATCCAAAGTTATGCAATCACCAATGATAGCAACGACGACATTAAGGATCGATTCTACGAGCGGCTGCAGTCAATCATAGAGAAGTGCCCAAGAAAGGACCTCACCATTCTAATGGGAGATCTAAACGCCAAAGTCGGAATAGACAACACTGGATATGAAGATATCATGAGACGACATGGACTAACTGGGAGAGAGAAACGAAAATGAGGAGAAGTTTGCAAACCTATGTCCATCCAGTAAATTGGTTACAGGTAGCACAATATCCTCACATAAGCACACACACAAAGCTACATAGATCTCACCGGACCACATCACAGAGAACCAGATAGATCATATTTCCATTAACAAAAAGTCCCAAAGGACAATGGAAGATGTGAGAACCAGGAGAGGTGCTGACGTAGCTTCAGATCACTACCTAGTTGTGGTCAATTTAAAACTGAAGCTAAAGAAGAACTGGACAACTGGACAAACAGCAATACAAAGGTTCAATACAACCTTCCTTCGAGATACTAACAAAATCAACGAATTCAAGCTATCCCTTAACAACAGGTCCCAAGCCTTACAGGATCTACTGAAAGAAGAAAAAACTACTATGGAGGACAACTGGAAAAGTATCAAAGAAGCATTAACTTCAACGTGTCAAGAGGTTCTGGGTCTAAAGAAGCACTATCATAAGGAATGGATCTTTATAGGAACACTGGACAAGTTCAAAGTAAGGAAGAAAAAGAAGACAGCAATTAACAACAGCCGAACACGAACAGAGAAAGTCCAAGCACAAGCTGAGTACATAAAGGCAAACAAGCAAGTGAAGAAAAGCATTAGAGCCGACAAGAAGAAGTACGTGGAAGAACTAGCAACGGCGGCAGAAAAAGCCGCAAAGGAAGGAAATATGTAACAACTTCACGATACAACGAAGAAACTAGTAGGGAAATACAGTAAACCAGAGAGACCGGTCAAGGACAAAGAAGGCAGGCCAATCACTGAAATTCAACAACAGCGGAACAGATGGGTAGAATACTTCGAGGAACTCCTGAATAGGCCGGCTCCAATGAATCCACCGGACATCGAAGCAGCGCACACAGACCTTCCTATAGATGTCAATCCACCAACGACGGAAGAAATCAGAATGGCCATCAGACAAATCAAGAGCGGGAAAGCAACAGGACCCGACAACATACCACCTGAAGCACTGAAATCAGACATCGAAGCAACCACAAGCATGCTTTATCTTCTATTCAAAAAGATTTGGGAGGAGGAAAAAGTGCCGATGGACTGGAAAGAAGGACATCTCACCAAGATTCCAAAGAAAGGAGACCTGAGCAAATGTGAAAACTAAATAGGCACTACACTACTGTCAGTTCCAGGAAAAGTCTTTAACAGAGTTTTGCTGAACCGGATGAAAGACGCAATAGACGCCGAACTTCGAGATCAACAAGCTGGATTCCGTAAGGATCGGTCGTGCACAGACCAAAATGCAACACTACGGATCATCGTCGAACAATCAGTTGAGTGGAACTCATCACTATACATCAACTTCATTGATTATGAAAAGGCATTTGACAGTGTAGATAGGAGGACATTATGGAAACTTCTTCGACACTACGGAGTTCCTGAGAAGATTGTCAATATTATCCGGAACTCATACAATGGACTACAGTGCAAAGTGGTGCATGGAGGACAGCTGACAGATGCATTCCAAGTAAGGACGGGAGTCAGACAAGGCTGTCTACTCTCTCCCTTCCTCTTTCTTCTGGTGGTCGACTGGATTATGAAGACCTCGACATCTGAGGGAAAACACGGAATATAATGGACAGCTCAGAATCAATTAGACGATTTGGACTTCGCAGGTGACCTGGCCATCCTATCGCATACACACGAACAGATGCAGATGAAGACAGCCAGTGTAGCAGCAGTCTCTGCATCAGTAGGCCTCAG